GCAGTTCATGCCAACGAGGCCCTACACAAAGGGACACATTGGCAGAACACAAAAAGGGTCAATGTGGAGACAGGTGACCTGAGGAAGCCCAGAACCGGGGAAGTCTGTTGGCTAGAGAGGCAGGACCCTAGGTGTGAGGCTGAGGTCTCTGTAAGGATGCAGTTTCAAAGAGGCCTGGGTCCCAGGCTGTCAACTGAGTTGGGCAGGGGCCTACCTCGCAGATGCAAATCAGAAGCCACGTCACCAGAAACGGAACCCATGACTAACACCAGAGCCACAGTGAGGAGGATGGTGTCAGACCTCCGAGAATTGGCCAAGCCCTCACAAACCGAAACACCTCCTAGGGCCAAGCAGTTGCTACCAGTCTTTGAGGGCTCTCATGATGTGAGTTTAGGGAGAGATGGGGGTTGTCGCTAACTGGAGAGGGAATGCCTTCTGTAAAGGCATCCACATTTCAAAACTGTTAAAAGACAATGCTGGCCAGGTGCAGTGGCTCACATCTGTAATCCCAGCACTCTGGGAGGCCGAGGCAGGCAGGTCACTTGAGGTCAGGAGTTTGAAACCACCCTCGACAACATGGCGAAACCCCACCTCTACTAAAAATACAAAAATTAGCCAGGCGTAGTGGCAGGCGCTTGTAATCCCAGCTACTCAGGAGACTGAGGCAGGAGAATTGCTTGAACTTGAGAGGCGGAAGTTGCAGTGAGCCGAGACTGTGCCATTGCACTCCAGCCTGCGTGGCCGAGCAAGACTCCATCTCAAAAAAAAAAAAAGTCCAGGTTACCAAAGTGGGCTCTGGCTCCCAGGAACTTACTCTATTGAAAAGGGAAGTCTTTTAATAGAAGCATAATCACACCAAGGTGCATATGACTTGTAACCTTGTGACTTTCAGAACAGCCTTCTTGGGGCCTACTCAACAGTGCATGGCAGCAAAGCTGTCCTCTCAAAGGTTACTTCCTTCAGTCCAGGGCCAGGACCTCATACCCAAGAGTGCAAGGCCAAGGCCACAGCCCTTCAGAGGCCTCCAGGAGACCACACATGTGCTCCATCAATACCTTCACGGGACAGAGAAGGCTGAAGGTCCCTCCCAGCCTCTCTTCCCTTGTACCTGAGAACAGGTGAGCCCTCTACAGAAGGAACATGGAGGCCCAACACCTGTTGCTGCAAGAGTCCTGTGCTGTTTCACAAGGAGAGGGACCTAAAACTCCCTGCACAGCTCTAAGCTTGTCTGTTGTAAAGGGGGTGTAATGGCCTGGAGAGGTGGAATCACAGGACTGAAAATGAGGCAGATTTCCTCTCTTCTGCAAAAGGAAGGCTTGCCTTCTTCTGCCCCAGCCCTTGGCCTTGAACACCAGCTTGGCTGCAAGGCACTGACCACATCACAACGATACAGCCCAACACACTAAATACCTGACACCCTTTTGTAAAGGGCTCTTCGAAGATCTTTTCTTTTTTTTTTTTTTTTAAACGGAGTCTCACTCTTGCCCAGGCTGGAGTGCACAGGCACAAATCTTGGCTCATTGCAACCTCTGCCTCCTGGGTTCAAGTGACTCTCCTGCCTCAACTTCCCGAGTAGCTGGGATTACAGGCAAGCACCACCATGCCCAGCTAATTTTTTTTACTTTTAGTAGAGACAGGTTGGCCAGGTTGGTCTCGAACTCCTGACCTCAGGTGATCTGCCCACCTCAGCCTCCCAAAGTCCTGGGATTACACGCATGAGCCACTGCACCTGACTGAAAGATCTTTTCTTTTCTTACGCCTCAATTAAAGTGATGTGATGGTGGCCTCTGTCCAGCAGCAGTGTGGGGTGCTGGTAATACCACATCCTTAAGGTTGGCCAGAACATTTCCCCTGTGAACGGCCCAGAGCACCAATTCTCATGTTTTAATCTGTAAGAACAGACTTCAGTTTTTATTTATGTTTCTAAATTCAAGGGAAGTTTAAAAAAAAAGTCACTGATTTTCCAAATGGGATTATCAGCATCCAATTACTAATGTGTTTCCTTTGCGGAATATTTTATGTCGGGGAATAACACAGTTAAGGGGCTGACTATAAATTACAAACTCCTTGCTTACCCTATGAAAAGGTGGCATGTTCTTTACTAAACCCACTTTTTAAGACAGAAGAGCGAAACCACGACAAAAAATAAGTAGATCTATTTTAAGCAAGGGTCAGGAATGTAACTGCAGCCCACTCTTATATTACTAAAGAGCATAACATAAAACCAATTCCCAAAGCAAGGAGCTGCTGCATCCACAATAGTTATCCCACCAAAGACCCACTGGAGGCAGCTCACAGCCGCTGCTATAACTCACTGATGCTTCAGGAAACCATGAGAGGGGATAATAATTCACTACTTAAAAAAAACAACGTTATTTTAATACTCCATCTCTAAGGCTGCACCTATTCTCAGTCACTACATTACAAAACTACATGGTGGCCACCTCTACTTTATAAGGGAAATAAAAGAAATGAAAGCATTTTTTTAAAATAATATTTTTACTTTTGGAATGGGCATTCTATTCTTTCCTCATGCATTTGTAAAACTGGATCCATGAACTGCAGAATTAAGACATGATCCACAATGCCATTTTCTTTCCTTTTCTTTCTTTCTTTTTCTTTTTCTGAGACGGAGTTTCACTCTTGTTGCCCAGGCTGCAGTGTAATGGCATGATCTCGGCTCACCACAATCTCCACCGCCCGGGTTCAAGCGATTCCCCTGCCTCAGCCTTCCGAGTAGTTGGGATTACAGATTATCTGCCACCACGTCCAGCTAATTTTTTTGTATTTTTAGTAGAGACGGGGTTTTGCCATGTTGGCCAGGCTGGTCTTGAACTCCTGACATCAGGTGATCCGCCCACCTCGGTCTCCCAAAGTGCTGGGATTATAGGCGTGAGCCACTGTGCCTGGGCCACAATGCCATTTTCTAAACAAAATATGTACCTAGGAATTGGGCTAAAATCTAAGAACTGCGAGTAAACCCTAATATACCCACTGAGAAAATTTCATGCATATGCTAAAGTATCTTTTAAAACTATAATAATGTGACTAATTTCTTAAGTTACAAAGTTGTATAGGAAAAGTGTACCATGGCCTACGGCTACTTTATAAAACAAAGAAACTCACAGAAACTCCTGTCACTCCACTGTGCATGAACCCTGGAGGGAAAGCCTATTGAATTGCCGCAAGAGACAGAGGCTTCCGGTGGACCAGGCTTTGAGCCCAGGCACCTCCCACCTTGATCCACTGTAGATAGCTAACTGCGCCTGAGCCCTCCTGCTATGACCACAGCCACAGGACCCCCACTGAGGAGCAACCTCCAGTTCTAGCCCAGTGGCACCACACTGGAGGGCAGGTTGGCCTCACCTGGTGCAGCTGCAATACTGTATCCCATAACTCAACAGTTCCAATCCTAGGCATACTCCGAGGCCTCGAGCAACGCCCCCCAAATTTTTATTCACTTATCTCATAAAATACTTTTGAAAAACGTATGTACTCCTTTGCCAATTAAACTATCACCTGGAATTTTGATTATAAACTGGTTAATTTGAAAAAGTAACAAAATAGTTGCAAAGGATTAGGTAATTTCAACTATAATCTAAATACTGGTATTTTAAAATAAAATGCTTACATCACTTTTTAAAAGGCATCTGTGAGAATAAAAACACCCAGGGTGATTTAATTTTCCCCATTATCCATTAAAATTACTCAAGCAAATTGCTTCATAAGAATAAAACATTTTATATCATTTCTTTTTTTCTGGAGATGAAGTTTCACTCTTGTTGCCCAGGCTGGAGTGGAATGGCACGATCTCGGTTCACTGCAACCTCTGTCTCCTGGGTTCGAGCAATTCTCCTGCCTCAGCCTCCCGAGTAGCTGGGACTACAGGCATGCACCACTATGCGTGACTAATTATTTTGCGTTTTTAGTTGGTTTCACCATTTTGGCCAGGCTGGTCTCATACTTCTGACCTCAAGTGATCTGCCTGCCTCGGCCTCCCAAAATGATGGGACTACAGGCCACCGTGCCCAGCCCATTTTATATCATTTCTTATTCTCCTTGTTTTCTTATAAATGTTGCTTCAATTCACTGCTGCATCAGAATTACACAAATATACATGTATGCTTGAAAGTTTTTGTAATTAATCATTCTATCATACTTCTCTACAGTAAAAACATGTATAAATTCTAGTTAACTTTTCTGTGACTTCGCTAGTTTTTTTATTATACATTGGGTTATCACTAAAAGCATCAGTAAGAATAGCACAAAACTATTCAAACAAAATTATGATATATTTTGATCAATGTCAAACATAAAATGTGCAAGTCTATTGGTCATAAACTTGAAATGCTATGATGAAGGAGGCTTTGCCAATGTTTCAGCTGCACCTTTTGTGAGTGAAGTGGCATGGGACACTCAGCCACAGGCAGATCAGTCCTGAGAAGAGTGCATGTGGGAACTGAGGGTCTCAAATTCAAGCCCTTAAATTGGAAATCCATGATTGGGTTGGTTTATTCCTTCATTTAAACCTGAAATATTTTCACTTTAGAAAGTTGATTGCCAGTTGTACACACACCGCCACAGGTTGCTGCAAGTAGCTGTGGGAATGGCTAATTCAGGAGGCTGCCCTCCTGGCTGGGTCCCTTCAGAGCCGAGGATGCCTGAGACACACTGTGGCTGCTGTCCCACCCAGGGGTGTAGGTCACCACTGCACCTGCCCTCCTTTCTGAGCCTGCCTCCTCATAGGAGGGAGCCCTGGAGCCCCAGCTCTCCTAAGCATCTGGTGAGCCATCATGGCTGGGCCAGTTAGCATAAGCCCACCCTAGGTGAGACAGTCCAGGCTGCCCTAGGTGGTCACTAGGCCCGATTTATATCCATGAGGTCCCTGAGGTCAGACCCGATGAGGAAGAAAACACAATACGTCAATATCTGCCTTTCCATTCTCCCCGCTATACTCGCAAAGTGAGTACAGCGACTCCTCCCGCAGCACTGGCTCTCACCTCCCATTGAGCACGCTCCTCTTCTCCAGCCCACTGGGCAGGACCACGGTGACATCCACGGTGCTGGCCCTCAGCGCCTCCTTCATGCGAACCAAGTTCTGCTGTGACCCAAGGGCCCCGTCGTGGGGGGGCTTCTGGTCGCTGTGCACGTGCAGAGTGGCAGCCTTTCCAGGAGGTGGGGGAGCACGAGCCTTCATCTTCCTCCTTAAAAACCACAACACAGAGGCACGGAGTGAGTGGCAATGTTCCTACCTGCCTAGGAATAATTCATTCTTACACACACTCAGGTCTGTCTTCAGGAGCGCCTTCTGAGTGCTATGGCCTTTTTAAAATCAGTGTCCCCCAAACAAATAAAAACTAATAAAGTAAACAAAACAGAGAAAGGGTTATTGAAAGGAAGCATTCCCAGAAAGAAACACCTTAGAAATGTGCTAGCTGTTGGGGAGGTACACAAGCCTGTTTTCACAGGATCTGGTCGAGGGGAGGGTGGGTGCAGCGGGGTTTGGACTGACCCTTCTAAATTGTCACAGGGATGACACATCACACGAATTAATGATCACAATGAATCAGGTGGGCTCGCTGACATGTGCAACACTCTATTAAATCCTGCCCCAGCTCCAAATCTATGGCCAGCCTGCACTTATCCCCAACAAAGAATCTGTCCCCAGCTACTCAGAAGCACCCTTGTAATAGAATTTCATCCAACCTCCCTCCCCACGTCCAGTGTCACCACCCTGTTCCAAGCCCTCATCTCTATGGCACACACAAAGGTGGAGTCACGTGAATCATATACGGTACACACTCCACCCTTCCCTCCACAGTGTGACTGGAAGCAGCCTGCAAGGACTGTTGTCTTCTCAGGCCTGACTTTGCTCGGGGCATGTACTGCTTACACGCCTGGCAGGGCCCACTGGCTGTGGCCTAAGCTGCAACCAGCAGGCTGCAAGGGCCCCAGGGAAGTTTGTTGGCCCAGCAGAGTGCTGTGTGCATTAGTGTGTGCATGCATGTGTGTGTGCCTGCATGTGCACGTGTACACATTAAAGTTAGCCAACATTTAAAAATTGGAATATGTCACACTAACAAAATGAATTTTGGCCTGCTTTTGGGAGAAAACATTTGATGAAGTCTAGACATCTTCACAATAAAAAACGGCTGTGTTTCCATCTGGATCTACTGACCGCAGGACCTGTTCACTCAGTGACATCATACATCTGTGCCCTGTAGGGCTGTAAACACATATCCAAACTTCCAGAGAGTCTGAAGATCTCCACCAGCCCTAGACCTGAACCATTCTTCAATGTCCTCCACTCTTCTGGCAATTGGCCTACAGCTCCAGTTTCCAGAAGCTGTTTACTTTTAGAATGGGCATTCTGTTCTTTCCTCATGCATTTGTAAAACTAGATCCATGGACTGCAGAATTAAGACATGATCCACAATGCCATTTTCTTTCCTTTTCTTTTTTTTTCTTTTTGAGACGGAGTTTCACTCTTGTTGCCCAACCAATCCCCAACCATCTTGGCCTCACTGTACTCTCTGCCTCACTTGTTCTGTTCTCAAAGATATGGCTCAAAACAACGTCATTGGAGAACCCATTTCTGGGTGCTCCAGGCCTGGGCACACACATAGCTGAATCAGTGATATATACATTGGCCGCACTGTGGCTGGAAGTACTTGGGAAGCTTAAAACATGCCCAGGTCCTATCATGGACCAGTTAAATCTGAATACCAATTCTATTATTATTTAACAACTCTAGAAGGCAGCAAGGCCATTTGTATTTTCAATATGTAGCATGATGTAGTTCATATTTGTGGGTGCAGTCATCTACCACATAACAGTGCTTCAGTCACTGAAGGATCACATATACAAAGGTGGTCCCATAAGACCGTAATGCCTTTTCTATGGTGAGATATGCTGAGACATACAAATGCTTACTACTGTGTTACAGTTGCCTATAGTGTTCAGCACAGTAACAAGCTGCAAAGGTTTGCAGCCCAGGAACAATAGGCTATAGCATACAGCTAGGTGTGTAGTAAGTAGGCTGTACCATGTAGGTTTGTGTTGGGTACATTCTGTGATGTTCACACAATGATGAAATCGCTTAAAGATACATTTCTCAGCGTGCACCCCATCATTAAGCTATGCATGACTGTGCTTAAAAATGCTTATTGATGACGATGATATTGACACGGCTGAAAATCATACATAGTTCCTGCCTACAAGAAACACTGCAGACTTACAAAAGCCTGAGATAGGAATGAAAAAGAGATTGCAGAATAAGAAATGTTTCAAAGAGCCAAGCTTTCTGAGGGAGAAAAAACCTGTGTAGACCACATTAGTGGGCTGTCTACCCTAACACCCTAGCCAAGGAGGCCTTGAACAGTCTTAAAGATGAGCAGAAATTTCAGATATGAGAAAAAGAGACAAAGCCTGGGGCAGGAGGAGAAGTCCCCAAAGGGAAAAAGAAAAAAAAAGAAAATGCTGTACTGCACATCACAGGAGAAGATGCTAAAACAGCATGCCCGGGCTAGGGACACCTGCCAGAAAGCACTCCAGGGTGTTTGGGATTTCTATTTTATTATTTTTTCTTTTCTGAGATGGAATCTCATTGTATTGCCCAGGTTGGACTGCAATGGAACAATCTTGGCCCACTGTAACCTCCGCCTCCCAGGTTCAAGTGATTCTCCTGACTCAGCCTCCCAAGTAGCTGGGATTACAGGAATGTGCCACCACACCCGGCTAATTTGGTATTTTTAGTAGAGATGGGGTTTCACCATCTTGGTCAGGCTACTCCTGACCACAGGTGATCCGCCTGCATGTGGATGGTCTGTGCGTGTGGGTGGCCTGTGCGTGTGGGTGGGCTGTGCCTGTGGGTGGCCTGTGCGTGTGGGTGGGCTGTGTGTGTGGGTGGGCTGTGCATGTGGGCAACGTGTGCGTGTGGGTGGACTGTGTGCGTGTGGGTGGGCTGTGGGTGTGGGTGGCCTGTGGGTGTGGGTGGGCTGTGTGAGTGGCCTGTGGGTGTGGGTGGGCTGTGTGTGTGGGTGGCCTATGCGTGTGGGTGGGCTGTGTGTGTGAGGGGACTGTGCGTGTGGGTGGGCTGTGTGTGTGGGTGGCCTGTGGGTGTGGGTGGACTGTGCGTGTGAGTGGATTGTGTGCATTGTGGTGGGCTGTGTGTGTGGGTGGCCTGTGGGTGTGGGTGGGCTGTGTGGGTGGCCTGTGGGTGTGGGTGGACTGTGCGTGTGAGTGGACTGTGCGTGTGGGTGGGCTGTGTGTGTGGGTGGCCTGTGGGTGTGGGTGGCCTATGCGTATGGGTGGGCTGTGTGTGTGGATGGCCTGTGGGTGTGGGTGGCCTATGCGTGTGGGTGGGCTGTGCGTGTGGGTGGCCTGTGGGTGTGGGTGGGCTGTGTTGTGTGGGTGGGCTATGCGTGTGGATGGCCTGTGCGTGTGGATGGCCTGCACAGGCTTAGACCAGGCTTGTTCCCCTTTGTCTGTTTTGTGCCTTTCAGTGTGGCTTCTGTTGAACGCAAGCACCATCCTCCAGCTAACACAGTCACAGCACGAAACAGAAAACGCCTGGCTTCCTCTGCCTGTGAGTGGCTCAGCCTGGGAAAGAATGGTTGCTATTTACGCAGGGACTCCTGTGCATCTGTACTCGGTTGTGAAGTCATTAGCTTACCAACCAGGGAATGCCTTTCTCAAACATCTGTGCAGATGTCATGTGGTTGAGTCTGAGACTCAGGTGCCTGTGGCAGCTTAAAAAGAGCAGGGCTTCTGCACAAGTCTAAAGAGGCCATCAGAGCTGGGAACTTGCCCGGCTCCTGCTGGGCACACCCATAGCAGGTGCTCCTGGCTGTCAGTGCATGCAGGCTGGGTAGTCCAGCTTTCCGTCCTCTCACCCCCTCCAGCAGGAGGCAGGGCGAGTCCTTGGGACTCAGCAGGGAATGAATCACGGCGCACACAACTCAAGCTTCCTTTGATCCCTCCAGGTTGAAAAAGCTGCATGTGCCCTGGCAGGAACTGTTTATAAAATGAAAAAATACATATATGAAAACATTTCTGCCATTTCCAAAGTCATCGACCATAGCTCCAAATGATTTTAGCTTAAAACCATCACAAATTTACTAAGTTTCAGGATGACACTTGTTAATCCCCACATCAGCTGGAAGCTCCCAGCTGGGTTTTTATGCTGAGAGCTCTTCAACACGCAACAGAAGACTTGAAATCCACTCACTGAAAGTCAGAGGATCTTAGGTGACACGGTGCAGTGAATGCGAATCACAGGTGTGGGGCCCAGGTAGCTGAATTAAAACCTAAGTCTATAGGTGACAGCTACTGCCCAGCCAGGCTGGTCAGGCTGAGGTAGACAGGGACCGCATGCTGAAAAGGGAAAATTCACATATCTCTGTACTTTCCCAGACCCCGAGTTCAAAAGCACTATGCTTTAGGTTTCTTCCATCTTTCCAGCTGGAAACGTCATCTGTGGACATGAAGGTATAACAATTTCTTACTGTCCAAGAAAAGTGGACTGGGAAACCCACAGTGATCCTGAGGCCAGCTGACCTGAATGGCACGCCTACAGCATGGGTGCCTGTTTACCATGTTGGCTACTCTGGCTGGCTGCTGGCAACCCGCATGTGCTTAAATGGAATTTCAGAGAGAAACCAGGCACACCCGGCTCTCCTGGCTCAGAGAGTCTGTTTATGCTGCAGGCAGAAGGGAGTTGCCATTCTCTTTCCACGAGATTCTTCAGCAATAGGATGTTTGCTTCGTCCTGTTTACAAACTGTACATAAGCTGCGTCTAGTTTGTGTCTGGCTACTTATTTGCAGCCACAGTTGTAGATTTCCCTCTACCAAGGGAAGAGGAACCATGACTTTCTTGTTCATCACTGGTAAGTGAAGTGCTGGCCCCAGGGAAGGAATTCAGTCACCACTGTGTGCGTGAGTGCCTGAGTGCGTGAGTGAGTGAGTGAGTGAGTGAGTTGGGATTCAGCTGCCGAGTCAGTGCCCAGCTTCATAGCAATAATAAAAAGTCAGAAAGATGTCCAGAAACAAATGCCCATAAAACAACTGAGTGCTACCGCAGCCTGCAGAACTGGTTACCAGAGGGGAATGAGGAATCCTCGCATCCTATACCAGCTCCCACATCCCTGAGTCCCACACTAATCTGATTTAAGCCCTCATTTTCTAAACGTGCCATGATCCAGC